ATAATTTTATATTGCTGAATTTGTCAATGTCTTGTACTTTTTTCTTGAGATCTGCTGCTTGCTCAACCCTATCACTGGACATTTTCTGAAGAACTGCTTTTACTGCTCCATTGTCGGCTGCAGCAGAAGGCTTCTGCTGCATAAGAGTTTGGTGAAGTGATGCAAGCTGACCGTCAACTTCAACAGTTTTCTGTTTTGTCTTTTCAGTTAACTGTGTAGAAAATAATTGATTAAGATTTTGTACTAAGAGAGAATCACTGAAAGAAACAATGCAACTATATCTCACTTTCTTAAGCTGACCAGCTACTTGTTTTGCTTTGTTTTTGATTTTAAGACTGCGTGCTCCAGCAACCTTGAAGACATTGCTAGTGGCTTTTCCTGCTTTTCCTTTATTTCCTTTGTTCTTCCCCATAGTTGAACACACCTGAAACCAATGAAAAGTGTTCCTATTAAAAAAGAACCTGTCTATCAAAGTTAATTAGATAATTTAGGGAGGAGGGGGAAATGCTCACATTATTTACAAATTGAACCTAATATGGAAAAATTTAAATCAACTTTGAGAGGTTTCCACATCATCCCGCAGACAAGCCTTCTTCGCAGTAGGTTCTCCATCCTCTGATTGAGTGCCAAATAAAATTGTCTCTGGTAGTGTGAAGGAAACTCTCATCATGTCCTTATTGTTGGACACAGTTCGAACAAGAAACACCCTTTTCAGGTTATCACCCAATTCTGTGCCTAATTCAACCTCTACAAGATCCTTTGCAGCTTTTGATGAATCCTCAGCATTTTTAATGAAGCAATATACATGCACAATGGGGCTAACAAAATTAGATGTCTTTTCCTCAATAGAAAAAAGACATTTAAAGTTTTTGATGAACTCCACAGCCATTGCAGGCAAGTTCATGGTTATATGTATGTTTTTAAAGTCAGATGCTGCCCATCTCTTTAACAAATCTGTCTTGATATCTTCCCGGATAAACTCTCCTCCATCTTTATTGAAAACAGTTACTGCATCAGTTACTTTGTTAACTTTCACATTATGTTTCAGCCAATTAAATGATTCTGGGTTTAAATCATTAGCAAGAACTCTGCAATGTTTCTTAGCAGCTGGTATGGAGAATGGACCAACACCAGCAAATACATCATAAAGGACATCACCAGCCTGAAGATCTTTCACAATTCTTTCATGTTCTCCACATAATCTGGGGTTCCAATATACTTTTGAGAAGTCAAAATGATAAGTACAATGATTCTCTTTGACTTGAGTAAGCCAATCCTCCTTTCCTGCCAAGAGTTCAATTTGAAATGTACGGAATTTTGAGTCAATGGAGTTAACTTTATTAACAACGGACAGTACTTTATTCTTATCAAGCAGTACTTCGCCAATTAAGTGCTTGTAATCATGCAAATGTTCTCGCAAATTCACATGAATAATGTGCCCAATTATTGACCAGCTGGCAACACCTTCCTGATCTGCAGGGAGTACTGCTTTCAAAATACTTTCAGCAGTCCAGTTATCATATGTCAAATTAATACTGCACATTTTAACATCATCTTCCTTAATACCAACATTTTCCAGTTTCTCTCTTTCACTTGCCTCCAAACAATTTTTAAATTTAGTGGGATCAAGAAGAATTTTCTTTTGAGATGTTCCATCTATACTTTCTACTGGAGTGCAATTGGGCACTTTAAGAAGATATTTTTTGACAACCTTAAGAACTTTTGGAAGATTGTCTATTGATGCAATTATATGAGGAACATAGACAGTTTTAGAGAATTGTTTCTTATCCAAAATCTTCATGCCATTCACAGTTGAAGGTGGCACAAAAATATCAACATCATTATTTTCTTGTTCAGTTGTCATTTTCAAAGGAAAATTTGGGGAGCACTTTGGGCTCCAAGTCAATGGTTCCAGAACAGAAGCTTTGAAAGAGCTTAGTATCTTATAAATTCTTCTTCCAAGTTGGAAAGTCTTAATTGGCATACTCCAAAACCTGTCGAACAGAAACATTGCCGATACTTGCAAACAGAAATTTCAGCCTTATGACTAGAAAAACTTTACTGCAGTGAAACTTCTAGATGGAATGAATAACAGTCTAAAAAATTAGTCTAGGGCAAATGTTAAAACTGTCAATGGAGGAGGTTTAAATTATCCAAAATATTTACCTACTTGCAGGAATTTTAACTTTCGTAAAACCTGCCACATCTTCATATAAACAACACATCGGAAAAGCTTACTGACTTCAGGGTACTTATACCCATGTAAGATATTTAGTAGAGTCGATCTAAGTGCAAAATGCACGTTAATATGGAAATTTTTGCTGGAAACCAAGCACTAAAACCCGGTGCATTCGAAAGCAGAACGAAACAGTACTACAGGGCACACATTGGGAGAGGTTAGGATTGATCAACTGTCTGATTATGTGCTACTGCTCTGGTCTGTCAAACTCAACCAAACAAAGAAATAGGTACTTTTCCTAGAAGGAAACCCAACGCCACGCGAAAGTCGTGTGATTTCTAAACAATTTAGAATTAAACTAAAAGTAATAAATAATGTGCGAGTGGTCGTGCGGTTTTGGAAGGACGTGCATGCATAAGGTGGGTAACTGGATTCAACAACTCAATTATACTTACAGGTTAGTCAAATAATACGAGCATGCACAGCAAATGTAACTTTCTTGCTAAAAGCAGCAAGAATCACAACACGCCCGTTTCACTGTTTACAAAGGTTAAGTTGCGCACACTTGCGCACCACGGTCGTGGTGGAAAGAAAGAGGGGGGAAGGGGGGGAGAGGGTGGCGTAGCGTGGCGCTAACAAATTTACATTCGCATTCGTGGCTCATCGCGAGACTAGGCCTCAGAAAACAAAAGACACTCGTATAGTCTCGCAGAGGGCCCCTCTGCTTTTTGAAAGGGCGCCAAACGAACGTGTAGTTCAAGAAAGCCGGCGCCAGGGGACGCTGTTGAGTTGGCAGGCCGTTGGACTTTATAGACATCCATGGCGCAGGGTGGTCGGATAGGACGACAATGTTTGTAGCAGCTAATGCTAGGGTCCGCGGTCTTTTTTTTTCTACAACTACTTATTCAGTGGTCAGAGTCATCATCGTCGTCGAACTTGCGGGTGCAAGCCGTCGACTAAAGAAAAAAAAAGGTCCTATTTTTCTGCGACGCGACGCAATAAATGTCTGGTGAAAAGTGAAAAGGGCGTAAGTCGGATGGAAAGTCTGTGGACTTACGCCCTTTTCACTTTTTACCAGTGAAATGACGCCTCCCTTCCCTACCAACACCCGCCGAGAAGGGGCCGGCGGAGCTGGGCCGAGCCCTACACTGCTGACCGAATTCTTCCTACCTGAGTTGCGCTTATTGGCGCGCTGCATTCCTTGGCCCGCGGCCAGCGCTGGGCTGCTTCAGGCACGGCCAGAGAGGCCCAGCAGCACCACGCCGCGCCACGCCAACGCCACGCCCGGCCAGACAGGGCTGATCGGGTATTTTTGTCAACGCGGCGTCTCGCGGCGAATTGAGTGACGGGCGTCGTGAAAGATGGGGGTTGTAATTCGCGGTGAACATCATGGTATGGTGATGGTGCATATAATGGCCGCAACCGCGAAGAAAACGGTAGTCAAGAGCGGTCGATATTGTCAAAGATCTCGTCTGGAGATACTAACAACATGTATACCACAACATCTAGGGCTCTATTTTTGGGCATCACCCATTCTGCCCCGCCCTGCCCCTCCCCCTCCGAGGCGTTAACGACGCAGTGCACCGAGGGCTAGTGTTCTCACCTGGGAGGGAAGGACGGGGTGGGGGTGGTGGTGGTGTGTGCCAGGGTGGGCGTACCCGGTACGCACACACACATGTAGGCTTGCGGTGGGCGAAGTGAAGTGGGGCTGCAGAGATGCAAATCAGAGGTGCTCACTGCGCTGCGCTTCGTGCATCCGGGTTAGGGAAACGAGGTAGGGGGGTTCCTCTTAGCAGGTGCGCGCTGTCCCCACCCCCCTCTCCCCAACGCACACCGGGCGCAGGTGCGGGTGGCGGCGTCGTGTGCATTCCTCTTTGCGGTGGTCAGTGGCGGTGGGATAATTTGTGACCCCCCACCCCACGGGCCGCGCCCCGCCACGCCCCGCCACTCCCCGCCACGCCCCGCCTCGCGGCGGTCGGAAAGCAATTAGAGCGGTTCCCCGCCCCTCCCCCTCCACCCTCCCGCCTTATGAATGGCCAGCGGGGCGTCGGGGGGCCGCCGCAATGCCGATGGGACCTTTGAGACCGTTTGTATCGTTACGGGCTGCTTATTATTTTTATCATTTACGACCCGTATGATTGCAAGTCGTTTGTGTGCGATCACATGCATATATCGTTGATGCCGTTGTCGTGACCGTTTTGTTGTTGGACTGGGGTTGCGTATCGTTGTTTCCTCGGCGCCGACGACGGATTTTTGCGACGTCTTCGTTGCACATCGCAGGTGTCCTTGTGAGGCCTTGCCGGTTGGCGATGGAGGCAGCAGGAATCCCACAAAAACTGCGGCCGGCCGCGGCCGCGCGACCATTCGCCTCGCCGCTCGAGCACGGGAGGACTTCCCTCCTCGCGGGGATAAGGCATGAGGAATGACGCCTCCTGTCGGCCACGCCCGCCCAGCAGCCGCTGCACTTAGCACGGCGCATAGCAAGGGCGTAAAAATGTTGGTCGGCGCGGGCAGCGGACAGAAAGGAATAAGGGCGTCATCCGTTAGGCCCAGACTAAACAATGAGGTACCGGGAGGCGCAATGGGGCGGCACGGAGTAGCACAAGAGGTAAAAGAAGAGAGTGCAGCCCTCTGCTCCGCTCTGCTCTGGCGAGGCGGGTGCCAACCCCCGGGGCGCAGCACGAGCCGCCACGGCCACGCGGCCTTGCGAAAGGAACCATACTGTTGCGAGATGCGGCAGGGGGTGTTGAAGAATGTTTCAGAATTTACTACGCTGTAACAAGCCGTCCGTAAACATAAATCACTTTCAAGACGAGTCTAACTTGGAGATTTCTCCTCCCCCAACTCCTATTTCCCCACCCCATTGGCGGGGCAGTTTTATAATCAACTGTGGATGCACACGCACTTGTGAACACACATTGCAATGTGGCGGGCTTTGCATATATGTAATCGTCCAAAAGGTATACGTCCGCTTTTCTCAGGTTCACTTGGTAAATTAAGGAAGCTCGGCGCCTGTGAGACTCAGGGTGGGCCATCCCGCAGTACACGCATGCATTGCAGGCGAGATATTGCCTACCTAACAGGCGCCATGAGAACTTGTAGCGGATGAGTTCCTTACGGCGAAAGACGGACGTTACTCTCTGTATGATCCCTATACCTGCTCTGGTCGCATGGGAGACATCGTGCCTTCCGGGACGGGTGGGACGAGTATTCGGCAACTCACAACCCTGAAGCGCGCGCGGAAGAAAGAAACAACACACGGCTATAGCCACAAAACAAAATCACGTTTTTTAAGGACAACGCGCCGCGCGCGGGCCTTTGCAGTGACCGCGCTGCTGGCATGTTGCACCGACAAGGTGGGGCACGTGTCGGTGGCGTGGCGTGGCGTCGTAGCCCGGCCGCAGAGTGCATTTGGACAGGCTTATTGTCCCTGCCGAGTATTTACAGTGATGCTCCTCCGATGTTGTTGGGAGGGGAGGGGGGAGGCGCCTTTCGTTCAGGCGCTGCTCCGTTGCACATAGTGGTGTGTGCCCGCGCTCGTCCGCACTTACCTAAACGTTTACAGCCGCGGGAGCAAAGGGAGACGACCGCAAAGTAAATTACGACTAAAGTAGTCATCTGGCTCGTACAAGCTGCGTCCAACGACGCCCGGCCTAAACCTCCCCCACATTGCTGGTGGTGTTGTGTTGTTCTTGTCCTTTTCTCCTTCCGCTCGTCTTAAATCAAGTTTTCCTTCCCTCGACACACGACTTCTTTCAGACACAAGGCCCTGGCCAGTCGTCGTCTGGCCAGTTCTGGCCTCGCGGGGCCGCTGGGCGCCCCCAGTGTGTGTGTCTCCCTCCGTGATGAAGGGGTGCGAGCCATTGCCAACGTTGGAAGCGGGCTGCAGGCAGCAGCAGGGCCGCCCCGCCTCCCGCCGCCGCTCTCTTCAATCACTCGCGCAGAGCAGAGGCAACGGCACCGCAACAATAATCAAAGCGCGGGGGAATTCGAAAATGCAAGAAGCCCCCCCTAATTTCCGCGCCGATTTTGCTTGGCTCGCGTCCAGAGGAGATCTGTGCACTGCACTGCTCCGCGCACCGCCAATCTCACACACGCCGTGCGCACGCGCTAATATAGGAAGGGCGGGCAGAGTTGAACCGCGACTGACTCAGAGTCAGGGCAGGGTAGGGTATAGGGGAGGAGAACGGAAGGAGGGGGGGGGGGGGTCCAATCATGTAGCGAAGGAGCGCCGGCTCTTTGAGCGTACTACGATCTCCTTGAAAACTTTTGAGACGGGCCGGGCCGCGTCTTTCCTTCAGTTACCGAATGGAATGAGCGCGCGCCTTGCGTCGTCGTCTTGGGCAGTAAGTCTAGCGCAAAGTACCGGTCCCCCAGGAGGGGAGCGGCTCAGGGCCCAGGGAGGGCGCCGCCGCCGGGTCGGGCCGCGGCGTGTACTCCTTGCCTTTGAGTCATCCGAGCCGAGCGGAGAGGGAGGTCCTCTTGTCGGCGAGCTTCGTGAAGTGTTGTCGAAACTTACTCAGAGCCATGGGGGGAGCGGGGAGCGGGGCGCGGTGCGCGGGGCGCGGGGCGCGGGGAGCAGGGTGGGAGAGAAAATGAGAAATATATATGCCACGGTGACCCGCGGCGCGGGGTAAATAAGATCAACACATTCCTCCCAGCCCTGCCCTGCCTCGGCCCGGTGGCGTCAGCCGACTGATTCAAAAGATTGCTTTCGTGCCTCCGTTCTTGTCTCACTCCCCCAGTGAGAATTTTTTTTCTTACGACGTCGTCACGACATCCGTTTTCACATCGTTAGCAATACAAAAGTCATCATGAAATTGACGGTATATTTCTTTCTTTTAGACAGTCGACATCACAGTGACAACGGGGGTCCTTGAGTGTTTAGGAATGGGTTCACCCCGGGCGGGGTCACACACGACGCGGTCTTGGCTCCGCCACTGACTGGTGTGTGCCAGTGACCGCGCGCGCCCCGACACCGACAGACGCGCCGGTGGCCTTCACGTCCTCCCTCTAGGCGCGCCGGCCCGGCCGCAGCCTCGCTAGGCCTTTACCCTCGGCCCAGCCCGAGGCCCAGCCCCGGCCGCGCGCCTGCGCCACTCGTCTCCCTCTACAACATCCTCCTCTGCACCACGCTCATCGCGCAGCTGAGAGAGTCCACGGCAAAAGAGACTGCGGTAGGACTCGTCTCTCCACATCCGCCGGGAAAAAAAAACGTCGTCTCCTGCGAGTCTTTTCTTTTCGCGGAGGAGGAGGAGGAGGAGGAGGGGGGGGGGGATTTGAGCGGCGAGGTGACTC